ATTAATATGGATATTTATGATAATCTCTAAATATATTTATGGTTATTTGTTAATGAAGGTCAAGAACATAAACCTCATTAATTATTGATTTTGCTGAATCTAAGTTGTATTGGTTCTTATTTGACTATGTATGTTTTCAACATAATAGTCATTAAAATTTTAAAAGGTTGTTTTTGTTTATTAACTCACTAAATGGATGAGTTTCTGCAGTAATTGTTGAAGGGTCAAATTTTATTTCATCCATTTTCTCAAACTCTTTTCTAATTGATTCATAATCTCCAAAATTTTGATAATCAAATGAATCATACCAAATTTTAATAGTCTTAAAAATTTCTTTAGCACTTGGACGTTTATCTGGATTAGCATCCATGCATCTGAATGCTAGTTCAATATAGAATTTTGGTGTGTTGTTTGAGAATCCAGGTCTTATACCTTCACATATTTTCATTGCAAGGCCAAAATTATGTGCCAAATTATTATGTGGTTGTTGGCCAGTTGATACTACAGACATCAGAATTCCAAAACTATATATATCTGATGCTGTTGTGTATGGTTCCTTCCTTAAAATTTCTGGTGCAACATATGGCATTACTCCAAATATGTCATTTTGGTTTGATGCAGATGCTTGACTAGCTGGATGTGATAACCCTAAATCTGCAATCCATGAATGAATAGAATATTGAAGAATATTACCACTATGAAGATCATGATGAATAATTTCTTCTTCATGAATATCCTTTAAACCATTAATAATCTCATAAAGAATATAAATTTTGTTTCTCCAATTTAAATTTTTAAAATCATTTGTTAAATAATTGTGAAGACTTCCATCTTCTATATAACTCATTACAAATATATATTCCTTTGTAATTGGATCTTGTGATAATCCATTGATCACAACACATTGGGTAATTCTTGGTAATACAATGTTCACTGGTTTTTGTTGCAGCATGCCACATATGAGACCATATGGGGCATGCTGCAACAAAAACCAGACAAAGTGAACATTGGTATTATCAAAAATTTCAGTGATCAGAATTTAGTGATTACAGTTAATTATTTTATAATATCCCATTTCTGATTTATTATCTTAAGTGATATATAGAATTACCTTTATATAAAAATAGTTAATATGAAGCTAATTTACATCAGATCTACTATGGAACCCAAGAATTACAGTACCATTAGAAGTATTTTGAAGAAGGAACAAGGTGAAAAAATTGCTCCTTACATTTTTAAATTAGCAGATACCAAATCTTTGCAAACATATTTAGACAA